GTCTTGACTGTTTAAGTATTAATTTCTATATATATAGAGAGAGAGGGAGAGCAAATAACAAAATAGTGTTCTCAAATTTATTTCGTGTTTTAATATAAATTGACATTTATGTAAATATAGAAAGCCAATTCAGAATGATAGCAGATATATACCCAGAGATATTCCTAATTGCTATTTGTCTATAAATTAATGCTAGAAATCTGTAAGTCATTGATTAATATTTTTTATAAACACCCATAGTCACACACACACACATACAACTTTCAACTAATCAAGCATAGACATGTAGACTGAAAATGACAATATCAAAAATGCCAACCTTGTCCCTTAGCTGAACTCTTTAGATAAATCTCCCCCTGGTCATGGGTAATGTGAAACATCTTTTGAATTTCAGAATTGTTTTTTTCATAAATGCTGTACTCCAAAGATGCTGCTTCCCCTAAATCTAAGTCCAATGCATGCACCTAAAAATTTGCAAAAACTGATATCACTAAAATATATTTAAAATTTGTTTAAAAGACATGGTATACTTTATATTCTGTCTCTTTCTGACATTTTTTATGTTCTGCTTTACCCAGTAAAAACAACAACACTGAATTACAAATATTTTCAGCTATCCAAGTACAGTGTAATCACAATCTCAGTGATATAGTCAAACCAGTAATTTCACATCTTTCAACTCTTAGAATTGCTAAGTATTTATAACATAATGAGAATATCCTTTAGCTCAGGTTTCAAAATGATATAGTACACATTTATAATTAACGTGAATTGAAATAATTATTAAACAAGTAATAGGAAACAATGTTTGAAATAAGATAGTAATTTTAAAACAGATGATACAAACAGTAAAACTGACAAACATTTCACTTAAAACTTTTCCATAACTCTATAAAAAAAACAAAACTAATGGATGTTCTTTTTTTGTGACAATACATGTGTAAATCTAAAGACTGTTTCTTTCACTGTACTAAATGATAAGTACAAAAAGTTACTAATGGCACAACATACTAGAGAACTAAACAACAAATGTTTGTGTGTAGAAAATTACAAATGATAGAAATTGTTTTTTTAAAACCATTTCTCAGAAATCTTTGAAAAGAGATGTTTCTAAAGTTTTTAAGCTTCCTTTTTTTATAGTTTATTTCTTTTTTTATGAATCATTATCATGCTTTCATTGCCCGTTTCTTTGAAAAAAATAGTTCATTGTTTAACAAGTAATAAAAAAGCATTGAATAAGTATTGTGGAACTAGAAAAACAGAAAGATGAGAATTGTTTATAAGAAATATAACTATCACTATAAGCTTTGTATTTAAACAGCTACTGTTCACTACAGGATAATATTCTAAGTAAGAGCCTACATGATAATGTGTAATGGTACAAAACATCTACAATTTCCTAGCAATATTAAGAAACACTTGTGAAATATTCAAAGATTTATATTCTTGAATATTTCACAAGCTATCCTGCACATTGCTAGGAAGGCAACACATTATCGTACTTTTACATTTTTCCAACATAAATTTTAAAAATACTGATTTCTGCCAACTAAAATGAGAGAACATTTTTGACTATTAATGCATAAGTGGTTACAAAAGGTGTTCATCTTTGGAATTCCCATATACAAAAAATATTACATTTACACTTGCTAAAATTTTATATTTTTAAACATGCACTGTTCTTCTAAATACAGCATAGTTAAAAGTAGCATAAAGCACAAAATTAACTAAAAGTAATAATTTTTAACTACTGTTAGAGTATTTTTTGGATTTGTTATAAATAAAATTTTGTTCTTACTTTTAAAATGGTTGTGCCAACAGTCATATTTGAGTGAATGCTAACTTGGTATTCTGCAACTAAAAACTGAGGAGCATTGTCGTTGATATCTGTGATAGTAAGTCTAACTGTGCTGTAGCCTGAACGCCCTCCATCATCTATAGCTACTATGGGAATCTCATATAACTGTTTCTTCTCTCTGTCTAATGATGTTTTGGTGTAGATCTCACCTATTGGTAAAAAGTTAAAAACCTTCCATGTGATAAAAATATTATACATGCATAAATTTTAACAAATATACTAAAATAAACAGCATAAATTTATCAACTATAGATTCTGAAGCCATATCGCATCCCAACAAAATAGATTTCTTTTCTCTCCTATTACCTAAAATGTCCGATTGTTTTAATGAAAAACACAAGTCATCTACTAAATACATTTCTGTTAATCCACCAGTAAGAAATTTTAATAGATATTTTTCTTTAAAATACAGTAACTCAGAATAAATTTTTCTCATTAAAAACAGATAGGCATATCACTACAAATTTGTATTAACTGTATTAAATTTGTATTAATACACATACATATAAAAAAAAAGAAACTATCACAATTTTTATAGGTATTTTACTTTCAGAGCTATGGCAGTATATTTGCTAAACCTCAGAATACTTGGAATTAAGAAAATTACTGAAATTGAAAGTGTATCAAAACACTATATAATAAATGAAGTAATTCAGTAAGTGATATATATGTATATATACAGAGAGTGCACAGACACACACACACATGTATTGTTCATAGATACTATCTACCCAGTAATGTTGCAACACTAACGAGGTTTAAATAACAGGACATTCAAAAGTCACACTATCACACTTAAATCAATGTCTAAGGTTACATCACATGGACATTTCTATTACTTTAATATTATTTTTTGCTACCAGTGTGAGTAACAATATTATACATGTATTAGGTTAATAACATAATCTATATTATCAATTAGTATGTTAAGTCCATCGTTACTCTGTCTTAACATCACTCTCTTTGCTTACATTATCCTAATAATAACAACAATTGTACATAGTTACAATAACTTAGTCATATCAGTTGTTCTGGTTATATTTTATCTACGTAGCATCACCTGCCATATTTATATTACCATAACTACCATACCTGTGCCTATATTACCATAACAATATTGGTGGTCATGGTAACATTACTTTAGTAACATTGTCTTTCATGTCTATATTACCATAACAACAATAGTAGTCATCATTATATTATCTTCCATGAGTATGTTACCATAACATCATTAGTGCTGGTGGTTATGTTACCATAGTTACTTTATTTTTCACACATTGTATTACCTTGGTAGAATCTCTTTCTATGCTTATACTACTTTAAAAACATTACTGTTCATCTTGAATTACCTTTGCATAAACAGCAAGCACAATTATATTATGTCAAGAGAACTAACAACCACTGTTAACAGAAACAAACTCACTATCTGATTTCATACCAGGTGAATGACACATTTTATTGGTTACAATATTTCTATACCACCACTGTCAATAGAAACCCTACACTAGATAAACCAGCTTCTGTCACAACTACTTGAGCAAATACCTTTGTATTCCAAGTTAATAATTAGTATGATTAACCTGAAAAAAAGAATACATTTAATTTATTATTTTACCTGAACTATGGTTTATGCTGAATAATTTCATACATTCTTCACTGTGTATATAATAACGAACAATTCCATAACTTCCCCTGTCTTTATCTGTGGCACTAACAGTTGCTGCTTTGGTGCCTGGAGGTAAATTTTCCTGCAAGGCAACTTCATACTTTGTGCGACTAAACACAGGTGTATGCTTGTTAGCACTCACTATGTCAATCAAAGCTCGAGTGTAACTGGAGTAGACACCATCAGTAACTGAGATATTCAAGTTGTAAGTGGACTGTTTCAAGAGCTGGTGGGCATTAAATAAGGAAACAACACCTAGTAGAAATAATAACTGTATTAAACAAAGACATTTAGTAGATCTAACAAGTTTAAGAAATGATAGAAAAAAGTTTTGAGGACACAACATATACATTAAATATGAAAACTATAAACAGGAAAAAAAAATTAAAATTTTTAATGGAAAGTAGGGATTGTTGGTTATTTGTAGAATTACTACAAGAAGTATCCAAAACAAAATAAATGCTGCAATAATAAGTACACAAACAAGTAATACTAGATGGGTAGATTTTAAAACGATAGATGAAAAAGTTGTTGTTTTACAAATTTCTGAATTGTTAGACTGGAAATGTTAGCGACCTTTTTAACATATTATTCGTATACATGTGCATAATATATTGTAACCAGTACTTTGAATGGTCAGTTTTTTGCATAGGAATTCAATAGGGTGGTTTTTTAACACGTGAATTATTTGGTAACCTTGTTGATCCCTACTATTAAATACTACCTTACTTAATAATACTTAGAAGACACAACAAATATTGAGCAATCAAATGTAACAAACATTAAATAATGCATACATTAAATACAAAAATAATGTGAAATGCATAGAGATCATACAAAACAGATAATAATACAATGAGGACAAATTACCTAGTGTAATACATGATGATACCACATGTTTGCTACCCCATTAGTAAATATATAAGATTTTTCAAAATTTCTGTTTTCTTCAGTTTGGTTTCAATATAGAAAGTTGATCAAGTAAACAGCTTCTTCTTACTCTAAATGTTCATGTAGACAGAGTCATTCAGAATCACTCTTACTGGTCATTAAGCATGTTTTCTTGCAGTAAAGATAGGTGTTGATTCATTCAAGATGTTCAAAGATAAACATCTGTCTCTGCTGTTGGCAAATGGCTCTGGACTTCCCTGCTCTTGTGCTAAAGCAAGAGTGGGTCACATGAGTGAGATGTAAGATGTGAGCAGCCTAGTTTTGTGTATGTATACTTTGGTTTTGTATCTAAAGGCCCAGCTTACCCCTATTATTCTAATTTTCTAAAGATTTTTTTAGAGATTTGAGATTCGTGTAGACTATTCAGCCTTTTGCAGATTAAGTGATACTTGTAACTGTACAAATCAATCTTTTAACTTTTAGTTTACTATATTTAATTTAGTTTACAGGGGGGTACACTAAACTGGTGAGGAAGAACTATTAAAGGTTCTTTCACTCCCTCTCCAGTTCCACAAACATACGCTGTAAATTCTTGCTCTTGTTTCATATAAACTTTGATTGTGTTTGTAATTAAGATTGTGATTTGTATATATTTCTTGTGTAACATCTTTTTGTTTGCACTGAACTCATTCACACTTAGGGAGAAACAAATCCACCTCCAATATACATTATTAGTCAGATCTCCTGTTTCTGTGGGCCCTACTCATTTACTCTGTGTAACTGAAAATACCACACTAACATGCACATTACATGTAAGGTCATGTTATTCCTATTACCATAATGATAATAAACAGTACTACCTACAGTTGTTAATGCTGAATGATGAGTGGAGGTTAACCAACTTGGCATGTCCAAGGAAATGCCAATGGCTATGGGCATATGATCTCCTGAGGGATATGTATAGTGGGACCAGTGATAGACAAAATGTTATCAGAAGGCAGAAATTCTAATTCATTGACTTAACCAATGACATCCTCTCCATACTTGGAAAGGAAATAAGCACAACAGCCTTATTTGCCCACTGAAGCACTATGACAGTGACAACAAAAACAGCCAACTCAACAGCGGATTAGATGTGGCACTGTTCGAGAATGTCTACATTACTTAATTATTAGATAACTCTAGGATGAAGAAAATATGTGTATTACTGGAGACAAGCACAAGATAAAATTGGCAGCCAAAACATATCAGCATGTAGAATGGTAGAATATTCCATGATACAGGAAGATTCAAGGAACTACAAGTGGAGAAGGACAGATACATGTGGAGCATGATGGGACTGCATAGAGGAGATGGACAGGCACAGATACTGGGAAAAGAGAAATTATATAGTAAGGTGGAGCATTCCTTGAACCTAAAGATAACATCAAGTCAGTTAACAAATTCAATCCAATTCTTATGAAACTAATCTCCATCCAAGTTGCTGCAAGGTCTCTCAACATAATTACTGTACAAGTACATGCCCCAACAACAAAGTGAAAGGATGAAGAAGTGGACACAGTCTACCAAGAGACAGAAATGTTCCTGGCCAAGATTCCAAATAAAGATATTAAAATGAGCCAAGTAGACTGTAATGCAAAAGTGAGTGAAGATGCATATACATATAGTCTGTAAGGGAATGATACAAAACTTCAGCATGGACCAAAAAACTGATTCTGGTTTATAGCTACTGGAATTTGCAGAATAGTCATTTTATTGTACCCCCAGAAGCTACCGAGGATAATAATCTCCATTCAACTAACTGTGAAACCAATAATTAAACTGAAAACATTGTGATGGCAAGATGCTTTCAGGCCAGGATATACAAAGTTAAAACCTGCACTTTCCCTGTAGTACATTTTGGCAGTCATCATGTTATGATAAATATCGAACTAAAAGTCAAAAAATCAAAATAAGAATTCAACTCTGGAATAAAATATGACTCAAGTCCTCTATGAATTTAAAATGGAAGTCATGAATTCTGACATGTGAAACCGAAAAGTTTGCAGTCCTTTGAGATAAGATACTATAGAAGGTTGCGTCACATCCCATACACTGCCAGCAAACAGCAGCTGCCAGTGGAAACCACAAACCTCTTATTGCTATCAGGAAGAAATGAAAATTCAAGTGGTGTAACCATGTGACACATTTTGGCTAACACCATCATGCAAGGAACAGTTGAAAGCAAAAGAACTGGAAGTCAGCCAAGAACAACATGCAAGATAATACAAATACATGGACAGGCCTAACTAAAAATGAACAGCTAAGTGCTAAAAAATACAAAGACAGGTGGAGAAAGATAGATGCTGAGATATCCAAAGTAGTGCCCCGTGGCACAAGTCAAAGAAGTTATGATGATAATAAACACTATATACATTAAATAAGAGAATACAAATAGACATAAGATAAAGAATAAATAGAAACAATATCCAACAGACAAAATACAAAAAATAGCTGGCATGCACAACACATAATAAATGAACAGTCTTATAAAATGTACACAGTGAGACACTATTTAGCAAAAAAACTACATACAATTAATAAGAAAACAACACTTAACAGACACAATATGTAATTTTATGAGGACATAATATCCAACAGATAAGGAATACATATACAGCAAAGGAATTATAAAGACACAATATACACACTAAATGAAGAGACCAAACCTAGCAAACAGTATGTAAAATAAGGTAATTACAGCTAACACATAAAAAGCAAGTTAAAAGAAGTTTTATTTTGTCTTGAGAGTCATGGGAAAAACCACTGTCTCTCATTTGAAAAGAGTCCATAACTGAGCTTTAAACTTAAACTCAAAAATGCATTGTGGTTCTTGTAAAGTTAGCCTGAATGTTTGTTATTTTACCTTGTTCTTGATGTAAAATAATTATTCAGAGTATAATGTAATAAGAGAATGAATAATTTTACCAATGTTTCTATGTAATACATTAATTGGAAGTCCTATTAATCATTCAAATATAAAAATATAATGTACTAATATAATGCTAAGTTTTAGAAAAGTGATATCTATGTTATTAACTTATAATCACAGTTGCTTTTGTAAATTAAAATTTATTATTTGGTTAAAAACAGAAGTTCAGTAGTATTAGTACATTTCATTTAATATCACAGAAAAATAAAAACCTATCACAGAATATATATGAAATCTCAGTAGTGCCCACCTGTAGTGCTGTTAATAACAAAGGCTTGATTTTCATTACCATCTACAATAGAGTAGGTCAGTTTTGGTTGGTCTGTGATGTCAAGATCAGATGCCATAACCATAGTAACAAACTGTCCACGTTCAGCATGCTCGCTAAGAACACACCTATAAGATGAATATCCAAAAGATGGAGGGTTGTCGTTCATATCTGAAACTATGACCCAAACATTTGCTGTGGAGCTTAAAGATGGAGATCCCCCATCTGTTGCCATGACAACAAAATGATGCATAGGCTGAGTTTCATGATCTAAAGAATGTTTGATGAAGACTATACCATCAGCAGGATCTATGTGAAAATAAGCTGTTGCATTTCCTAGGATGCTGTACTGAACATCCTGGTTAGGCCCTGTGTCCCTGTCAGTGGCATGAACCTTCATGATGGATGTTCCAAATGGTGTAGCTTCAGAAACTGACCCATTGTAAACTGGCTGACTAAACATAGGAGCATTGTCATTTACATCTTCTACATGGATGTCAACTAAGACATCTGCATAATCTCCAGACACAGAATCGGTGGCTCGCAGGGTAATGTGGTGTTGTTGACGGGACTCAAAGTCAAGCTCTTCCACCACAAAAATTACACCTAGTCATTAAAAACAAAAACGAAATCTTTCATACATACAGAAAAAAAAATTCAACCTCAATAAATGTTTGCATGTATTTAGTATTAAAGGATTAAAAAAACATTCTTATTTTTGTGATATATAACTGAAGTGTAGTAGATTGAAGCATATCAACTACAAAAAATAAATATAAATTCATATTCAAAAGTTTAAAAAATAAAAATAAATAAATATAAACATCAACAAAAGAGCTGATAAATAACAAAGTATTTATGTGCAGTAGTTATCCCTCAACAAGGTAGGTGATACTGACAGATACAATACAGACATTCTAAAACCATAACCATTAAAAGTGCATAATTCTAAAAAAAAAGAATGTAAAATCATAAATGTAACATTAAGATGAAGTCACAAGTCTTTCCATCAATATTAAAGTACAGAATATTACAGTAACTACACTTTTCATGCATTCTAGCTTTGAAGAAGAAAAACGTTAAACTACCATGCTGCTGCTGTCCCACAAACATGCATTTGGTATCTTAACAGAAGAAATATTTCAAAAAAAAAAAGCAGGAAATTAAGCACAGATTTTAACAATGGTAAAAACATATCTTATCATTAGGACTTAACATAGAAAGCACTGAAAACAAAGTCTGCCGTTAAGCAGCATATATGAAATTAAAATCCAAACAACGATTGAACAAGAATTTGAATCACAGGTTTCTCCAAAGCTCTACTTTATTACACATCCATTTGAAACAGTTTAGCCTAAAACTATCACATACATACTGTCTTTTACTAAAAGATTTGGAAAAATAACCACATTGTCAAATGGAATACAATTAATAAACCTTTTAAGCTTGTTTCATGTGCTGATATAACAACTGACTTTAGCAGAAAATCATAAAGAATAATGAATTTCAAGTTAAGAATCCCAACAAGCAGTAAGATTGTAGAGAAGTATTATTTTAATAATAATATCTACAAATGTTTCCTATAATACAAGTTCAAGATTTTACAGAAAATTCTTCCATCAAGAGCTTTTGAAACAAAAAGTTTAACTTTCACTTTTCTTCTACAACTTCTTTAACCACCAAATGGGAGCTACGTATGTACTTAAATGAAAACCATTGAGAGCCTTCATTCTCATTCACCTAAAAAACAATGATTCATGATCATTTGTGACTTAATCTGTAAGGAATTAGTGAACAAACTGTTTCACTCTCTCTTTACTATATATATATAGTTAAAAATAATAAGCTTGATACTACTTCCCTTATCAGCAATTTAACTACATTAAACGTTTAACTTTAAAAAATAAAAAAATATATATATATATATATATTCTAGAAGCTTCTGCTTGATTGCAGACTAGAATGACAAGTGCATGGTACTCAAAAGCCTTGTCAGTAAAGAAAAAAAGTAGAGCATGCAGGAAGAAATGGATTTTCAAAAGAAGCGGAAAATGTTAAGAAGAGCAAAAAACAACACAAAAGGAAACAAAAATTAAAACCTTGTTATATACTCACATGGACCATTATTATGCCCTGGGTCTAAAAAAAGGGACCAAAAAAAAGAAATATTGTAAAAAGCATAAATAAATTTAAAAAAATAAGGGTGAAATTGATAGTTTTTCAAGAGGACTTTTTAAATTAACTCATATCATTTTATTGTATTGTAACACAGATTAGTAATTTAATAAAATATATACAGATAATAACCAAAATACTTTTCCTTTTATTAAATTTCAAACATATTTTCACTCTTCCGTATGTATACTCATCAAATTTCTGTTGTTTTTTTAATGGTTTACATTTTTATTAAAATGTTAGTGTATTAGTTTTCCTATGAGTTTCCACAATTACCAAAATTGTTACTATTTACGTGAAGTTCAATTTAGAAACCATTAGACCATATCTATAGGCAGATTAGTTATTTTTAAATATTCATACATGTTAAAGAAGAGTGTAAAAACAATGTACCATGGACACTTAAAAACATATTAGTAAGGTCTTGGTTAAGTTACACTTGCTTATGTGTATTATATTCTTAAGGTACACCTATGCTGGACCTTTTTTTTTTATCATATTCTATGTCAATAACAACTCATTAACTTAAACATTACTGATAAAAATAAACTGAAAAGTTCTCTATTGAATAACCATAAATAATTCCAATAACTATAATGATAAAAAAAATAAAAATAATTGGTTTAGAACCAGTATAATTTCTAGTAATGTCACTGTTCACTATATAACATTTGTTTCTATTTTTAGCAAAGCTATAAGGCTATCTGCCACCATCCCTAATTTTAAACTGCCAACTAGAGGGAAGCCAACTGTCTCACAGCATCCACCATCAACTCTTGGGCTACACTTTTATCATTGAATTGTGAAATTGACCATAACATTACAATGCCCACATAATGAATAATAATATTCAAAGGCTTGTATCAAAACAATATCTAAATAGGAAAACATAATATTTAAGCATTTTTATGTTGGTGTTATTGTTTAATCTTGTTTTTAATACAATATTAAATATTTACTTTACAAGTCATATTTCTTACACCTGTTTAATTTTCAAATTTGTCTAAAACTTAAAATATTCTAATGATTTTTACTCAATAAAATCTAAGAAACAAATTCCACTACATGAAAGTGTATTGTCAGAAGTACATAAAAAGGATGAACGTGAATCCAACACTTGAATCATCATCAGTAATGGTTACTCTATACTATGAATACATAAGAGCTGGGCAGTTAATGACATTTGATAACCATTGGGCCCATTAGTCGGTTACATTGAACTAACTGATTATTCTCACATGATACTTGGATAGTTAGAATAATCAAAAATAGTAATAACTGGAAACACTAATTTCAGATAGCCAATTACGTTCCCAAGTCATAACGCTAACCAATTAAGCTGAACAAACTTTTTGATTACTTGTATAACTGGAATAACTGAAAAACAGTAACAGTGAAAAAAAAAACTGATTTCAATTAGTTGATTGTTTTCATGGCATTAATTGATGTAAGCATAATTTCAAGTAACTGATTATTTTATGTGACACTAATCAATGTAATCAATGCTCATAGGTAATATATAGTCAGTCACCCAGTTCTAAATCACATCTTAGCTGGTCTCTTGTTAACTGTGCATCATTGTGTGTTTTTATAATCAGGCTGAATGAACTTTATTTTCAAAGGCAAACCAATATTAAATTCATCAAGGTAAGAATATTACAAGTGTACAGTTTAATCGTCCACACAAGATCTGCTTCCAAACCTTAAGTAACATCTTTTTTTTATAAATATAAGTTCTGTTGCATAGATAAATCTTTTCATTATATCTGCTTACACTTACCTAACAAATTTTCAAGCTTTATTTTGTAATTAACACATTCTCCAATGGTAATCAAATGAATTGATATTTAAATGAAAAATAAAGGTTTGAAAAACAAGTTAACACCCTTATGTACTTTAGTAATTGTTTAAATTATGCTGCTTTTTTTAATATTTTGTAAACTGAGACTGTTTCTTAAGATCCAAGAAAATGTTCTTACAATTACCCTACTCCAACATGCAAACAATGATATTTTTTTTCACAAGATAACTTAAATGTTTGAAATACAAAAACAAAAATTCTATCATGGTTACACATTTAGCTTTCAACCAGTTCTAAGGCTTATTTAACACAAGTGTTACTGACATATTAATTTTTTTGTCTACATATCTGTAAAAAACTTTTGCTTTGATAATGAAATTAGAATTTTCAACCTAAATGGCACTGTAAGTGCATGTGGTCTAAATGGCCAGCTTAGGATTCAAGTATAGCCACCCCTAATTTTGAACTACTGACAAGAATGAAAGCAGCAATGTCACCATAAGGACTTTATCTGGCTCTTTGAACTGAATAATGGGATTGACTGTCACATATACGAGGCCTGTGAGAAAAGTATCCGACCTTTGACCGGGGAATTAAAAACTGGCATACCTGGAGCGTTGGAAACCTAATCACCCTCAAAGTAGTCTCCTTGGGACTCCACACACTTCTCCCAGCGGTGCCGCCATTGTTGGAAGCATTCCGAGAAAGCCTTTTTCGAAATGGAGTTTAGCTCGGCTGTCGTTGCAGCCATAATGTCCTCTCTTGTCTGAAATCGCGTTCCTTTCAATGGCCTCTTGAGTTTGGGGAACAGCCAGAAGTCACAAAGAGCCATATCAGGAGAGTAAGGAGCCTGTGTGAACCACAGGAGTCTGTTTTTTCACCAACAAAGTCTGAATCAAGTGCGAGGAATGTGGTGGAGCATT